AATACATATTTGCGTGATTATTATTACAATATTAAACAAATTTAGAAATAAAATGCAAAAAAATTCATGAAAAAAAAGTTTACAAGTAGAGACTATATTTATTCGCTGTTTGCTTTGAAATATAGAGCGAAGTGTCACTTTCGACAACGCAAGCAACAAATGATGAAAACGTACGGGAGTCACAGTCACGGGACTTTTTGAAAAAAACAAAGCGGAGAAGGATGGCACTCCGTCTGAATTTTTAATATCATAAATAATATGTATTAAAATGAAGAGCATACTAAAAGAAAAATAATTATTTTATATCGTGATATAAAACGCAAAATATATCTGCTTAGAAATATTTAGTTTCATATATTGTTGGGTAGCTTAATTAGGGTGCTTCTATGGACAATAGCATGAAATGCCATAAATTCCGAATTTTTCACTATATTTGTCAACACACTGTGCAAGCTCTTACGAAGTTTTAAAGTAATCGCTTACCTCGTTACTTAAATATTTGAAGTCAAAAGTGACCGTTCTATTCAGTTTTATGCATAGGCCTTATGACGTTATAGACCCACACATCGATATATCGTCCCATCTCTTTTTCTAAACAAATTCGTGCCATATATAAAATTGATAATAAGTAGTGAACAATATAAGGAAGGTTTACAGAAAGTTTTACTGAGATTGCCTACGTTCTAAAAAAGTAATATCGGTCCGCGTAAATGAATTTTGATTGAAAATGTGTCTAATGCCAAAAAATTGTGGTGAATTGACAACACTGTATTTGAGATAGGGGGTCTGATGGTATACGTAACGCACACACTCATATTTTTGTTACATATTCCACACAGCACAGAAATATTTGATCAACATTGCGAAAAATTTCCCTTAAAATAATGCAATATTACGGAAATATAGTGAAAATTGTTTAAAATATTTCTGGACTGTTGCAGAAATCTTGCAATGTCCGCTCAGCACGTTGCAATCATAATATTGCGATAATGTTGCCGGTCAATATTTCGGAAATATCAATGCATAATATTAATAAAATATAACTCAGATAGCACCTGCGTATTGCTAAAATGTATTGCAATATTTCTTGAATATTGCTGTAATCTTACACCGTTCACTCTGCTGCAAAATATTGCAGTATAAATGTCGTATTTATGATACGACATGTAAATGATAACAATGATGCATTAAGCGGCTGAGAATAAATTCCAATGCCAGCAATGTATCGTGGGTTTCTTTGGGCAGGTTGCCTATACCTCCTTAAATATTACCTCGGTTGTATTTTTAAATACTCTATAGAAATGCAATAATTTCACATGTAATTTTTACATGCAAGATACAAAAGTATATATCGACGGCGAAGACGGAAACCGCAAAATCGACCGATTAATTATTTACCCGGTCCTATGTTTTTTCATGCGAGTTGCCTTGGCCACCTAGTGGCGCGGCAGCGAACTAGTGTTCGCTCGGATACTCCG